ACATTTGGAAAAGACTCCCGATTTGTATACACCTGACGATGAATGTTGTACATGATGGTATATCTCTGGCCCGTAGCGATTCCGCATGGAGAGTCCTGGGTTACGAAAAGCATTCAACCACATACCAGCAAACTTGACTTTTGTTGGCTTTTTACCGCTTGCGACAAGTTCCGCGCTCTGAAAGATATCGTGACCATAAAGTTCGAGTTTCCATCCGTTTTTATATAGTAAAATAGCACCCAAGACCTTATGACCGTTCCTCCATCCCTCTGTTCTTTCTGAAATAACTCTGTAACCGGCCGCTTTGAATCTTGGAATAAGCCCGAACATAGCCGTAAAGTTATCATTAGGGAAGTGAATGTCTGCATCAAGCTCCCACGGTAAAACTCCCTGGAACTTAACAGCACCTAGAACAGAAGCAAACTTAGTTCAATAAATTTAGGCAGGTTTATAATGTCTTTATTTGGGTCAGATATAGGAAAAAAAATAAATGAGTTTTTCAAAAGCAAATGGAAGAGTCGCCTTCCATCTACATCTCTCTAAAAATTGGTCTTACATTCGGGTTCGTAGAACCAGTGACCCAAAAAAATAATATTTCAAGAATTTTCCATCCTCATAGAATCTTTTTAAAAACCACCACTTCTTTAGATGGTAGCTATGAAAGTGATATTTACACAACATTCGTAAATAAGGTTGTAATTTCGTACCAAATGTTAGAATTCTAGTCCATGTACGTTATGTTAGCGTTGTGGAATATTTGACAAATGACCCCTTTAGAAAATTTTAAAAAAAGATAAAATAAAACAACAAATAATGACAACAAATTAAAAAAAAATGGTCACACAAGGAACTCACAGGATTAAAACAAAACCTCCCTCGTAGAGTAGGAGGTCAGGTGTCACATTACCTAATTGTGATCCTTCATTTAACTCGCACAAAAGCCCTGCGTTTTCACACTCCTTCATGACAAATTTGATCATATCTGCGAGATTCTCCAAATCACAAGGAGGGACAAGGAGTCCTGACTGTTTCCTACAACTAGCGGTGTTATCATTGGGCCGCCCGCCTCTCCTACAGCCATACCAGCGGATCGTTCCGTCGGAATTGATCCATTTTTTGACATCCCACTTGTTAGCCAAGGCCACATATTTTTCATGCGGAATTTCCTGCACGTGAGTCTCAAACATAACGTCTGGACAGCTGACAACAACTTTCTCTGGATGTTTCAGTTTTATTCGCCAGAAAATATCAAGAAAGGCACCAAAAGGTAGTCTAGGAAAGAGAATGCAATAGAAGAGGTCAAAAGCTTTTTCAGTTGATAAGAATCGAATCCTACTTAGATATATAAGAATATCAGTTGGTGTTCTCTCGTTAAATATAAACGTCCAGACTCACTTTTCATCAAATCCAAGTTCCTTAAGTTCTTTCGTCTTCGCCATAAATGGACCTGGAAGCACGTCACACACTAAACAATCAGTAAACGAACGATAATAACCATCCAGAAAAAAAGCAACCCAGTTTCTGAAATTCACTTGAAAACAGCCCTTGTCCCATTCGCCACGTTGATTTTTGTGACTTCCTCCTGCAATGATTGTATCTTTGTTCTCGCTGAGCACCCGAATGAGTCGCTCAACATTTACATCATCAGTGAAGTATGTAATATCCGGTGCAAATAGTACATAGGGCGTGGATACTGTTTTGAGTAACATCGACCATGTTTTTCCGTGAGTTAGGTCATCGAATACCACGTTGGTTATGTTTGACCCGAATTCTTTTAAGTTTAAATTTGTCTTCGACTTGGACACAAACATTACTGGTACGCTTGGATAATAGTTTACGATGCCTTTAAAAATGTTTTGTAAGTTTTCGGTCGAGATATCTCCAGGTGATGTAACAATCATGGTCACAAGCTGGTCCAGTGGAACAAAGTCTGAACAATTTACTCGGTCGAAACCTTTCCTAAACCGAGGAAACACGTACTCCCAACTCGGTGCCATGAATTTTTCAGCGCAAACCTCTCTCTTTGGCAAAGAATTTACGGAAGACCTGTCCGCTGAGTTATCTTTTTTCAGATCATCAGTTAAATTCCCATCGATGGATATTATTAACTCCTTTACAAGTTGAATATGTTTTTCTAAACGGTAAAAAAGTAATTGTGAATGTTGTAAGCTGCGCTGTGTCTCGGAGAGTTCTTTTGCTAACAGCCTTAACTCCTTAGTGGAGTAGTGCTTCTTCTCACTAGCTGGGTTCGAAGGCTTGTGGAAATGTCTTATAGAATCAGTCCGAAGACTGGATGAGAGCCAAATCCCCAAGCCAATGTATGGTAGTATAACTATTACGGCTAAGACGAAACTCCGTTGGATTGGATTCATTGCAACAATATCTGTAGCTTGAATTGTTGAAATGATGTGGCTTCCACACTTTTTTAATTTTTTGGAGTGTTGATAATATTATTCCGAAAACGTCAGTCAGAAAGTCTGCAGGGAAAAAACAAAACAAAACAATAACATGACGATTTAATAAATATATATATATATATATATATATATTTCTGTTTTTGCGAGGTCTTCGGATACCCAAATGAAATACGAGCTCGAGTTTTGGAAATAACTTCAAATTCTTAAACAGATAATAAACAAAGACTAAGACGAAAAAGGGTTTTAACAAGGAAGGAATAACAGGTGTCACCAACAACTTTGCATCTTACACATTCAATGTTAGTGATGACGGAAAAAAAAAGCTTCAACACATTCACGCCGTACTTCATGTGCAGTTAAGGAACGTGGCACCAAACTACAAGTCTGTTCCTAAGGAAGACTTTAAACCCCCTTAACTTCGGTTCTTTGACCCCGGTGGGCATCAAAGTTGCTGAAGTTTGTTTAATGTACATTCCCTTTGACTGGTTCGAGCCTCGGCCATAATAAACTATGTCACGTGACCAAAATTAAAAACGTATCTCGTCAGATAAATTGGATCGTTTTTGCATTACCTTCCGCTAAAAATCTTCAATATCGAAAGTCTGAAGCATGCGATTGATGAAAAGTAAAATATAAGTTATGGACCCATAAGTAGCTGTAACTGGACTTTTTCCATGTTCCAGATTTTGCAACATGTCAATCTCAATCTCTTTCCGCTCCACGAAAAATCCTGACTGAGATTTTTAACAACTGCGCGACTGTTTGCATTTTGTCTCTCGTCTTTTTACAGGGATACCTGTGGTAGCCCAGTCATAAAATGCCTTTGTTTTTTGTTTTTTTTTTTTTTCCTCCGCCACAAAATGGAAAAATTTGCGCAATAGTACCCAGAGGTCATTGGGCCCTCAACACCATGACAACTAACTGTGATCCAATGAGGTGTTCACATGCTGATCACGCATGTTATCTTGATGTTGATTGACGTTGTCATGCACAGACAGGGCCAGGGGTCAGTTCAATAAAGAAATTACACTTGTAGATTCTACAGTTATAAAAAACGCATGTAAAGTCCGACTTGTAAATGCAAGAATTCAATAAAAAAATTCAAACACTGGAATTTACACGTGTACAAGCAGTCTTACTACAAGTGTTAATTACAATTGTAACCGTACAATTGTAAATAGCACTGAGTGGATATGTAAACTACAAGTGCAAATTATTTCAGCTCAGTGCGGAAAATTTATTTCGTAGACCGCGTCGATTTTTTCCCTGTCGTTTCAGCATGTTGTCGAAATCCCAGAAATTTCTATTAGCGCAGCTTGTGAGGGATAACAAATCAGTTGTTTTGGCTCCATTTTCCTCGACTGTAACGAAAAAGGCGAAACAGGAGGCGTGGGAAAGCATCTTAAGACAACTGAATGGTGTTGGAGCGAACGTCGACAACATAAAAACCCTGAGAGATGTTATCTGGGCAAACATTCGCCGCGGTACGATAAAAAAAGTCAGTGACTCGAAAAAGACCGGTGCAGGAGGGAGTGAACTCACAGAGCTGGACGATACAGTCCTTGATATACTTGGAAGAGAGAGCGCAAACTTGGAGCCTGTGAAGGTTGAAGACACACCAATTGTGTTTGAGAGTGAAGAGGTTGTCTGCACTACACCTGAGACCGAAGGTGAGATAATTTAGAATAACCAGAAACAACATTTATAAATCAAAATGTCCTTCTTTCGTTTCTCTGCGAGCAAGTTGTCAATTTGAAGCTAGGTCAGGCGCGATTATCGCGTTCCCAAATGAAAATGTTTCTTTCTTAATTTAATCGCAACTTAGCTTCGTTCAAACACGATGAGTTTAAAGATGAGATTTTCATGTATCTACCAACTGATTCTTTTGTTCATTTAGATGCAAAAGCAAAGCCTGAAACAAGACCTTCAGCCAAACCAAAGGAAGCCAAAGAAGACAAGACATCAGTATTCCAAAAGCCTACCATCAAATCGAAGAAGGGGCTGAAAAAGGCCACTGTCAGTTCCACAGCAGAATTAGAAGAAGACATATTACGAATTAGGAAAAGAAAACTACTTTTAGAGTGTTCAAAGTTGTCCTTGGAGATTAAAATATTGAAGAAAGATTTCGAGGCGATGGATTAATAGAAATAATTTGACTGTTAAGTTTGAGAATTGCGTAAGTGCACTCAAGAGAATGAAAGCTAATAATGTCAATAATTTACAGAATTGTATCACTTTGTTAGAAAGTAATCATGCCGTTAATAAAAACAATTAGTCTTAGAAGGTTGGTGGTTTGCAATCATTTGTTTAATTATTAGAGGGAGGGCAACGGACAAGAGGATATCAATAATTATTGAAATGACTTCAATGACATAGCTCATACCATGGTTTAATGAATTCAATGACAGCTTCTGTTCTTTTTCAATTTCATATTTGGGCTAGGGGATCGTCCTAAGCATATCATTATAGTTTTATAAATACAATATCTGCAAATAATGAAGATCGAATAAGAAATGTAAACTAAATGTTTTTAAAGCCCTTAACAATTTGATTTCACATCGATCGACATTGTCGCACTTTAATTCAAAGAAAATGCGCCAAGAGCTCTCGTCGTCTGTCCTCCTGCCCCTCGTCTTGCTCGGCAGACTCCCCTTCATCAATTTCCAGATCTTCGTCATCCAAAAGATCAGCACCATCATCGTTAAATAGTATGCAAATGTTGTGTAGTATGGCTGCACACTGGATAAGTTCAGCAGCTCGTTCCATACTTCTGACTCTTAAGCCTGTTTGTGGAGTGTAGAATCTTTTTTTTATAACACCATTGGCTCTCTCTATGGTGCTTCTGGTTTTCTTGTGCGCCTCATTAAACCCGAGGCGAGCACCTTCTACATCTCCCCTGAAAGGAGGAATCAGCCAGCTGTTGCACGAGTAGGCAGAGTCGCCTAGAATTACTGCTCCAGGGAATGGCCTCTGAGCATTTTCTTCAAATGCAGTCCACAGAGTACTCTCTTTGAGAACCCGCGAGTCATGCCATCTCCCAGGACATCGGCTGCTACAGAAATATATTGAGTAATCTGGGCCGCAAACCATGGCCACATTGAGGAATTTCGTATGATGCCGATTCACGTATGCATCTTCATCACCAGCCGGGGGATTTACCAGAACATGGGTTCCATCCACGCAACCAGCAACACAAGGAAACCCAGCTACATCATGAAACTTTGAAGCGATTCGAAGGGACTGCTTGGGCCAACAAACAAGTTCTCGCTGTAAACTTAGTATTGCCGGCGTAACGCGGTCTATGACATTCCAAACCGTTGATGTTGAAATTCCATGGCACGAATGCATCACATGGTAAAACGAGTTCGTACCAAGGAAGTGGAGAAATACTAACAATTGTTGTCTCGCCGTCAACGCTCTGTTGCGCCGTGTTCTGTGTTCCAATTGCGGACCCACTGCTGCCAGTAAATGTTCGAATGCATCGACTGGGAGACGAAACTTCTGTCGAAATTCGCGTGGATTTTCTACGTCTAAAAGCCGTCTTTCCTCAAAATTCCTCGGCTGTCGTCTTATTCTATTTCTCAAAAGTTCATCTATTTCTTCTTCACTCGAAGATGACATGCTATCTCTTTAAATGAGGCCAACAACAATTTGCTCTCGAAGTTTACAAGTGACTTATGACTTGTAATTTGCTGTTGTATTTTACAAGTGGACCGCAGGCCAAAAACAAGTTGGACTCCTGTAAAACGTTTTATTGAACTGACCTAATTTCACATTCTACACGTGTAGCTCTACACCTGTAACTACAAGTCGGACACTTGTAACTTTGGCTTGTAAAGACAGTTATTGAATTGGATTTTTTGCGCGCTTGTAAAAGCAACGGTCCAACGTGTAAAATACAAGTGTAAAAGTTTTATTGAATTGACCCCAGGTCACATGACGAATCACGAGATTTTGCTTATAAAACTCTTTGGTCATTTATTTTGTATTTCAACGTATTTGGATTGCGATCTCCTGGAGCATTATGGCGCAAACGCGCAAAATACTTACAGACGCATATACAAGTCGTATTAATCGCGGCTAATCCACACTGAAAGACGTTATTGAACGGTAATTTTGGAACAGATTGAGTCGCGAACGCTTGAAAGCCATGAAAGCCTTGAATGCCTTGTATGCTGAGTATGCCAATGTCTTAGTTGAAAAACGTTTACTTGTTGTAAAAAGCAAAATCTGAAATCTGAAACCAAACTGCATATACTCTATGCAATCTATCGAACAACACTACTACCGTGAGACTGAAGAACATAACTATAATGAGTGCAAACTGCTTGTGAAGAAAGACGACATGTTGGATTCACTTGATGGCAAGGAACGTGGCTACGATAACAGTACGAATGGTATTAATTTCACGATCAGAAAGGTGGATCTTATGTTTGTTTTCATTGTAGTTGTATGGATATTCTTTTTTAATAAATACGTGATCCAAAACCCTGCGTTTTTTTGTGTATAATGTTATTATGTTAAATATTGTTTACGCAACTGTCTTGTCACGGGCAGCCCAAGGTCACGTCTCGAGAAAAAGCCAGCTATTAATTCATGAACGCGTCATGCATTGTGTGACTCGGTGTTAAGTTACGAGAGGAACTGCACGTTATAAGGAATAGTATAGGGAACGAAGTATGGTCGATTTACAACGATACATATTTCGAAATATGAACATTTTTCTCGTAAAATCAATAAAACTTACTCATACCCTGTGTATCCGTTGTATTTTCTGGCGATTTCTGCCGTTTTAAGCTTGCTCTACCATCACTGTTATTCACGTCATCTACTTTTATTACGTTGGTAAAATCTGTACAGACATCACACCAACCAACTCGCGCGCAAAGTAAGAAGACTATATTGAAGGCTTGAAATAATATTACGATCGATTTTCATCAAGAAATGGGCCAGGAATATCTCACAATAGTGCAAATAATAGTGAAGGCGGATCGCAGAAAAGCGATTGCGTGACGCTCGGTAAGCTGTAAGATGACATGTTATTATATACTAGACGTAAAAACTCTTCAGAGTCTTAGTCTGCATTTTTGTACCCACTCTGCAGTCTGCAGTCTATATTTTGTATCCGGTCTGCAGTCTGCTGTCTGCATTTTGTACTAACAGGTATCCGTGGCACCAATACAGGTTATTTTTGGTTACATTTATTCGCAAAACACACATAATCTACCACAAAATACTGTGAGTGAGGTAATTCGACATTTTCGTTCTTTCCCACATTAATATTCTTCTCTCCTTTTGTAAGAATGTAGACATCACTCACAATGTTTCAAGTAATCCACCCACCCTACAAAAAAGTATGCCTATGTTTTGAAATAGGTGTATGCCCTGGGCCAGACTTGAGCGCACTATTTCAGTATACTAGTCCGACACCCGTTGTATCACTACACTTGATTCCAAGGATCCAGTACCATCCAGGTATCCCGGTTACCCTGCTCACAGGGTCTAGTTAATTCCAAAGGTACGTTTGATAAGTTGAAGTACAGAAGCGATGGTCAGAATTATCCGTAAGGCAGTTACCAGCGGTCAAAACTTTTTAGGGAGCCTTTGAATAGCTATGATCTAAAAGTGTAGCGCTTTAGTCTGTAATTCAGGTGACTTTAATTATTCTAGATTCAATAGCATGCGCAAGTAATTTTAGGTTACACGAAACTGAAGGCGGGAAGATTACGAGCGTGATAGCTTTTGTTCACCGGTTACTACTTTAACCTAACCAAGAAAGAATGCAAACGCTCGATTATTCGCGACGGAAATTTTAAAAGCTCGAAGCAAGTTCTTACGGAAAACCCTGACAACACAAATTACACACAAGCGACCGAACCAGTGAGCCATGACGTGATTGTTCTTCGTGCAATTTAAGACAAATCATCAGTCGTAAATTTCTCGAAGACTAAAAATTGCACTCGCCCTATGGGCACGTGCAATTTGGTAAGGCTTTGAAATAGTTACTCGTGCTGAATTTTATCAAATTGCACTCGTAAAAATGTGACTATCTCCTCAAATTACTACCTTTGTCAGGAGATTCAATCAAGAAACCAAATAAGTCTCTTGAGTCTTATTAGATTCGCACAACGGGATACCCATGTTCCTGTAGCTTTAGGTAATTCTCTTAGTTTCCCTAGCTCAGTCATTGAGTACTAAAGAAAACCAGTCAAGTTGTAAATGAAGTAAATTTAACGACGCGTAAAGAACCGCAAGTGAAGGATAAAGTCAAATTATGTAAATTCTATTCTCAAAAAGTACTCTGCATTTCTGAAGTAGAGCGAGAAACTACCGGCTGACTTTAATTGTGAATTTGGGATCAACATCAAGAATTCAACCACGAGATCCTATCCGATTTCTACGTGAAGTTTTTAAGATCCTTTGGCGTGCATGGCAAGTTTTCGAATTCTTCCCATGCTTCAAGTAAATACGGTCATGGTTGGTCCAAATGAATTTCAATCTGAGCTTTCCCTTGGGTTCATTGACAAAATTACACAGCTTCTTAGCAGTCAATGATTCCGTCATAGAGATCCTCTTACTGAGGTCTAATCAAGACCGCATTCGCAACATTACACGTGATCTTTGTATTTAAAAGATATATGAAAAAAACTGTATGAAAAGCATAACAAGACTACATGCCTTTGACATGATTAAAATCTCAGTGAATAGATGTGCCATATTTTAGTAGTTTTTTAAATTCTATCGTTATATTTTTGGCATTTACTATTTTAAATTCATAAATGGTATTCCCTTTTCATCCTTGTAAAGAGATATTGCACATTTCTTTAACTAAAATTTGAATTATGAAGTCAACTTAATTTCAACAAGTTTGAAACTTCACTTCACAAGTTTATTTGAAACCAACATAATGGCCAGCTCCCAGTTGGCTTGTTAGCTCAGTTGATAAAGTGCTGCACTGGTATTGCAGAGGTCATAGGTTCAATCCCTACAGGCCTGAATTATTTTCAGGCCTTATTTGCACTATTGCTCAAGTAGTGTTCATTACTGCAAAGATCTCTTTCATATTCAAGTTTGACACTTCATTCTACATAAGAACACTTTACTGGAGTATAATGTTATATTTATTTGCTGTCTTTCTGGTACACATGATTACCATGTGTCTTAACCCTTTAACTCCCAAATTTTCATGAGTGATCCTCCCTACTGTCTGCCATACAATTTATGTGATGTTAGTTTGGAGAATTTGGAATTGGATCAACCAATAATCCCCTAATTGATATTTTTCTTAATTCTCGTCACTTGTCTGCTTTATACTATACTAATAATGGAAGGAGAAATTCTCTCTAGGTCACCAGTGGAACTTAACCTTTTAACTCCCAAGATCTCACCAGTAATTCTCCTTACTATCTCCTACACAGTTCTTGTGATGTTAGTATGGAGGATTTAGTATTGGATCATCTTATAATCCCCTAACTGATATTTTTCTTTATTCTCATAACCTGTCTGCTTGATATTGTTTTGATATTGTAAGGAGAAATTCTGTCTTTATCACTCATGGGAGTTAAAGGGTTAAAATGGAGAATTTCATCATATTTTAATGATTAAAATACTCTTATGCTTTTAAATGTAACAATACAATGTGATGAGAATCTGATGTTATGAAACACTTGCAATGGAAAAACCTGTTGCTGGTAACTTATGTCTTTAATGCTTAAATTTTCAAGGGAAATGCTTTTCTTTGAAAGTGGGGATACAGACAATAGCTAAGATTGTTAGGAAAGCAAACAAACAAGTGAAAAGAAGACAGTGAAATAAGGGAAACTGTAAACTTTACCATGTGATAGAAAAACATCACAGAATACTTAAGAGGGGAAACTTGAATTGTGCTAGCTAATTTCCTCTATTGCCATTCATTTTTTTGATCAAATAAAATTTAACCCTTTAAATCACAGTTCAAATTTGTAATTCTCCTTACTGTCAACTATACAATACCTATAATGTTAGTTCTAAGAATTTAGTATTGGATCAACTAATTATTCTCAAGTTTATATTTTTCTTTATGAGAATTTCTCATCACTTATCTCATTGATATTGTATTGATATTGTTAGAAAAAATTCTGCCTTGGTCACTCATGGGAATTAAAGGGTTAATCAGTTGTAGGGTTCACCTGCGATGTGTCAAATTGCCAGTGTGGACTTCATTCTTCTCAGATGTCAGCTGGTAAAAGATAGATACTTAAAATAGCCGTCCATAAAAAAAAGTACACATCATTAAAAAAATTACACTAAAGTCGTGGCATGATTAATTTGTGATATTTACAATGACAGAAGAAGGAAAAACACATTGAGCTTTTTCCTATTCACCAGTAAGTTAATTAGATTTTGGATTCTACATTCAAACTGGGTGAGATTAAATTTATTCATATCATGCTTCATTATGGTTTGTTTACGTGGAAAAGTAATTGTTATAGCTTCAGATGTTTTTGCTGCAATCACAATTAACATTCATAACAAAATTTCATTTAACATGGAATGTTTCAAGAACACTTTTCCTTTCTCTTCAATACCATTTACTATTCCTGGATCACAATTAAAGGTAGCAGGTTATTAAAAAAATTATA